TCCATCTTTCATGTGATAGCCCTTTAGCTATTTGAAGATGGCTCACATGTCTCCTCTTTTGCAGGCTAGACATACCTAACTCCCACAACCGTTCCTTTGCAACCCCACCCCTGACATTGCATATGCCAGGAGGGCATGGCTGAGGAAACAGCACCATGGTCTAAATTAGGACTGTCGCCTGGCATGATTAGAAGTGCAAGCTGAATGTTATAATTGGTATGCCAATTAGGCATGAATAAAAAGGCCTCAGACTAAGTTAAACCCAAACCAATTTGGCTTTTATAAATGTCATCTTTTCTTTGTATGGCAGTCACTTAAATAGTTATTGTGAATATATATTTTGGAGGAGGGCAGGTAGACTAATTTTTAAGCTAGTTCTAATTTTCTACCACCTCTGAGTACGACTGCATGCAACTTCACTCATGTCCTGTTTGCATGCTTCTTAGATAGATCTTATACAGGGCCTTTTACAAGGATATGAAACAGTCTTTCATACTATATAACAGTGTTAACTTGTAAGAATTTATTTCACAGTAGTGCAAATTTAGTTAGTAGTAGTAATAATAATAATTTATTATTTATACCCCGCCCATCTGGCTGGGCCTCCCCAGCCACTCTGGGCGGCTTCCAAAAGAATATTAAAATACTGTGATACATCAAACATTAAAAGCATCCCTAAACAGGGCTGCCTTCAGATGTCTTCTAAAAGTCTGGTAGTTGTTGTTCTCTTTGACATCTGGTGGGAGGGCGTTCCACAGGGAGGGCGCCACTACCGAGAAGGCCCTCTGCCTGGTTCCCTGTAGTTTTGCTTCTTGCAGTGAGGGAACCGCCAGAAGGCCCTCGGTGCTGGACCTCAGTGTCCGGGTAGAATGATGGGGGTGGAGACGCTCCTTCAGGTATACTGGACCGAGGCCGTTTAGGGCTTTAAAGGTCTGCACCAAAACTTTGAATTGTGCTCGGAAACGTACTGGGAGCCAATGTAGGTCTTTCAAGACCGGTGTTATATGGTCTCGGCAGCCACTCCCAGTCACCAGTCTGGCTGCTGCTTTCTGGATTAGTTGTAGTTTCCGGGTCACCTTCAAAGGTAGCCCCACGTAGAGCGCATTGCAGTAGTCCAAGCGGGAGATAACCAGAGCATGCACCACTCTGGCGAGGCAGTCTGCAGGCAGATAGGGTCTCAGCCTGCGTACCAGATGGAGCTGGTACACAGCTGCCCTGGACACGGATTTAACCTGTGCCTCCATGGACAGCTGTGAGTCCAAAATGACTCCCAGGCTGCGCACCTGGTCCTTCAGGGGCACAGTTACCCCATTCAGGACCAGGGAATCCTCCACACCTGCCCGCCTCCTGTTCCCCAGAAACAGTACTTCTGTCTTGTCAGGATTCAATCTCAATCTGTTAGCCGCCATCCATCCTCCAACCGCCTCCAGACACTCACACAGGACCGTCACCGCCTTCACTGGTTCTGATTTGAAAGAGAGGTAGAGCTGGGTATCATCCACATACTGATGAACACCCAGCCCAAACCCCCTCATGATCTCTCCCAGCAGCTGCATGTAGATGTTGAAAAGCATGGGGGAGAGGACAGAACCCTGAGGCACCCCACAAGTGAGAGCCCAGGGGTCTGAACACTCATCCCCCCCACCACTTTCTGAACACGGCCCAGGAGGAAGGAGCGGAACCACTGTATGACATTGCCCCCAGCTCCCAGCCCCTCAAGATGGTCCAGAAGGATGTTATGGTCGATGGTATCAAACGCCGCTGAGAGATCCAGCAGAACTAGGAAACATCTCTCACCTTTGTCCCTAGCCCGCCGGAGATCATCAACCAGTGCGGCCAAGGCAGTTTCAGTCCCGTGATGAGGCCTGAATCCCGACTGGAAGGGATCCAAATGGTCCGCTTCTTCCAGGCGTGCCTGGAGTTGTTCAGCAACCACTCGCTCAATCACCTTGCCCAAGAATGGAAGATTTGAGACTGGGCGATAGTAGTTTCTGCAGTTGTTTGGGGAAAGAGTGGTAGCTCTGCAGTAAAACATCTGATTTGCAGATTTAATTCCATGCTCAGTGAGGGACTAAGTGAGGGCTAAGGTGGGCGGGTGGCGCTGTGGGTTAAACCACAGAGCCTAGGACTTACCGATCAGAAGGTCAGCAGTTCGAATCCCCACAATGGGGTGAGCTCTTGTTGTTTGGTCCCTGCTCCTGCCAACCTAGCAGTTCGAAAGCACGTCAAAGTGCAAGTAGATAAATAGGTACTGCTCCGGCGGGAAGGTAAATGGCGTTTCCGTGCGCTGCTCTGGTTCGCCAGAAGCAGTTTGAATCCCCACAATGGGGTGAGCTCTTGTTGTTTGGTCCCTGCTCCTGCCAACCTAGCAGTTCGAAAGCACGTCAAAGTGCAAGTAGATAAATAGGTACTGCTCCGGCGGGAAGGTAAATGGCGTTTCCGTGCGCTGCTCTGGTTCGCCAGAAGCGGCTTAGTCATGCTGGCCACATGACCCAGAAGCTGTACGCCAGCTCCCTCAGCCAATAAAGCGAGATGAGTGCCGCAACCCCAGAGTCGTCCGCGACTGGACCTTACGGTCAGGGGTTCGTTTACCTTTTACAGTGAGGGAAACTTCATCTGACAGACAATTCAGGCACCAGATTTCTGGAACACCCTTTGCTGATAATATTATGCCAGTTTTGTTATATCTGCACTGACTACTCGTTTATTTCCAGACTCAGTTCAAGTAGCTTTTATATACAGTATTCACTCCTCCTCTGGGAATGGAAAATTCCTCATTTTCAGACCACAGTTTTCAGAGCTACAACCTTCTTGGATGAACAAGAGGATGAAACAGAACTTAAACAGGTTTTACAGTAAGAATGTTCCCCTGAAAGAGAGAAAAATCTCAAAAGAAAAACTGAAGCAATTAGGGGTTAATAGCTGCCAACCATGTATATTCTTCAACTGGTTTCTGAAGAAGCACAAAATGAGTTTCAGTCTTTGAGATCTCATCTGTATTGTTTGGAGAATTGTTGTGTTGTCCTCTATGTACTGTGTTGATTGGACAATTGTGTTGTTCTTTACATAGTGGTGTTTGCTTGTCATTCTGGCTTGTATCTTGTGCATATGTTTATATCAACATCACTCTTGCTTGGGTGTCTGTGACTTGGTCTTTTTCCTACTACCAAGGTGCCACCATTTGATCTCTCCACCACTGAGTTCAGCATTGTAGGCTCTGCTATAGAATCATAGACTATGTGTCCCGCTTGTGGGTCAGGGCACAGCATATGTTTTGGATGCAAAAGATCTGAGTTCAGCTGGAAAGACTCCTGTTTGCAGAGCCACTGGTAGGCCTTGTTGACAGTTCTGAGCTAGAGGGATCAATGGGATGCCTTTGTATAAGGCAGCTTCCTATGTTCCACACATACAGCTCATTGGTATTGAAGCAGAGCCTTTTCTGTTGTGGCACCCATATTATGGAGCTCTGTCCCTCAAGAAGTATGGTTAGCTTCTTCTCTTTTAACTCCTTCAGGCATGCAATTATGACCTTTTGTATTGTGCCATTAAAAAAAACCTTTTGGTTTAATGTTTTTATCTATCTACTTTTAAAACATTGTCTTCCCCTGCTCTTATAAGGTTATTTTAACCGTTGTATTTATTGCTTTCATGTTTGTCAGTCCTCTTGTAAGCTGCTTAGAGAAGTAAAGGTAGAAATCATTAAAGAAAGAAACTTCCACATTTGAAAAAGCATCTCAGCAGTTTGGTAGCTCTCCTTGAGGTAAAGTTGTTTATGGAGGCTCTTAAATGGGCAAATCAGCATCCCTAGTCTACTTTCATACTTCATTTACTCTCATACTGGCTTGTTGAAAGGTGATTAGCAGAAGGAATTTTAATATCTTGTTTGCAAATGGAGCTACTAGGAGAAATTATTACATATGACTTAGTTTATGATTATTCTGCTCAGGCTTGTTCTAATATTTTTTATGAGAGATTATAAACAAAAGATATTGCTACATATTTCACACTGGAAGTTTTTTTGAAAAAAACTCTCTCAACCCAGGAGTGGGACAGCGCACCAGTGCCGCAACAGATATTTTTCAGCTTTATTTATTTAGAAATTAGTCTCACCTTGCAAAATAAAACCAACTTGCTATTCCCTTCAGCCATGACCTAAAAAAAGTGCAGCAAATAAGCCTTCTGCGGAAACATTTATAATGCAATCAAGCATACTTTTGTGACACTTGTTTGTTGCTGAGAAGGGCAGAACATGCCTGCAGGGAAAGGAATAATACTGTATAAGCAGTATGGAAGCCTGCATCAGAGCAGACTTTTTGTGTAGGGATGTATATGAGGAGTTGCCTTGTCCAACAAATTGAAAGGAGAGGCTCACTGACTCGTAGTGAAGTTCCATATTTTGACGGGAGCACACACAAGGCTCTCAGCTGATGCAACAATAGTTAGATTTGAACAGTGGCTAATTGATAAGTGTAAGTCTTTGTTGAACCTGGGGGCCTGCTTCAGAGCAGACAGTTAAACAAATAAATAAAACAATGCTGGCATTTATCAATCTGAAAGTGGTGAAATAAGGAGTTGCTCACACAAGCTTGCAATTGAGTACACAACAGTTGAGGTTATGTGGTATGTATATCTGTGGTGTTGCACTTCTGATAGCTCACCTGATATTTAAGTCACCAGTCCTCATTGCACGATGATCATGAGCAATGGAATTGTGGCTGCCCATGGGCCTTAGGTCCTACTTCATGTGGTGCTTGCAATGTATGAGACATTTATTAAAAAGCTTCCCCTTCTTAAGAGTAAGGTTGTTTGCTAAGGGGTAGAACATCTGTTTTGCATGCATAAGACCTTGGCTCCAATCCCTGGCATTGCTAAGTAAGGAGATGTATCTGAAACCCACTGCCGATCCATTTAGGATAGCCATGTGGAAGCCTCTCACTCACAAGCCAGACTAGGTCCAGAAGGGGTCCTCATTTGGTCTGTGAGGGAGTCTTCCACAAACTGTGCCCATCTGCTCTGCACCAGACATAGTTGGTTAGAGCATGGTGCTGATAATGCCAAGGTTGTAGGTTCGATCCCTGTATGGGACAGCTGCATATTCCTGCATTGCAGGGGTCATCAAGGTCCCTTCCACCTTGACGATTCTATGGTATGTGGTGATGGGTGAGGAACAGGTAAAGGTCCAGCTGCAAAGGAACAACCAGGAGCCATTGTTATTTTACAACTGGGTCTGGCATTTGGCACCTTTTAAATTTGGTGCAAAACAGAAGCCCAGCTGGGATTGGTGCCCCTTGAGCACAGCGGCGTAGCTCGGGTGTGGCCCGCGCATCCTGCAACTGGGGGGAGGGTGTGGTGTCCATGGGGGCGGGGCGTGCTGCATGGAGAAGAAGAGTTTGGATTTGATATCCCGCTTTATCACTACCCAAAGGAGTCTCAAAGCGGCTAACATTCTCCTTTCCCTTCCTCCCCTATAACAGACACTCTGTGAGGTGAGTGAGGCTGAGAGACTTCAGAGAAGTGTGACTAGCCCAAGGTCACCCAGCAGCTGCATGTGGAGGAGCAGGGAATCAAATCCGGTTCACCAGATTACGAGTCCACCGCTCTTAACCACTACACCACACTGGCCTCTCTGTCGCCCCCCCCCCCTCGACTGTAGCGCAACTGAGGGAGAGGCAGAGGGCAGATGTAAGCCCCATGCTGCCATTTCAGAAAAGCGTGACTCGGGCATGCTGCAGGCCCTGCTGTAAGTGTCGGGCCCTGTGGTGTGGTGCCCAGTGCCAGCCACATTTCGTTATGTTTGTTGACGGAACTAAAACGTTTCATGAGCCCATTAAAAAAAACCTCATATTTTTGTCATTTTGTCACACCCCCCTCAGTGATGACACCCGGAGCGGACCGCCCCCCTCTGCCCCCCCTTCCTCTACCACTGCTTGGGTGCTCCCAACCCAAGCTCCCAAGTGCAGGCTAAACCAACTGAAATCTGCCACCCCTCTTGCTTCACCTGAATCAGCCTAAATTTGGTTACAAACATCCATTGTGCCAAATGTTAATTGAACTGAATTAACTCCAAAACCACCTTCGTCTAGTTACTACACCAAAGGATGCTTTTTTCTTTTTTTTTACACTGGGATTCTAAGCACATCTACTCAGAAATCAATCCTTTCGGGTTCAGTGGCATTTATTCTCTATTAAGTTTGCTTCACTTGAAGCCCTATATAAAATTTATTTTAGTGACCAGACATAAACTGCCATAGAGTATATGGCAGTGTTGGGATTCAAGCTGGATTGCATGGGCTCGTCTTGATGGTTTATATGTGATCTTATTACTTTGTTGTTATTTATAAATATATTGGTATTCACCCTGAGTCTTTATGATAATGTGGGATGAAATACAAATAAATGAGATATTTAATGAAAGTCTTTACTGATCCTCACAGCCATTCCTTAATTTATCTTCATCACCCTTCAGTACCTTGCTATGAATAGTGCTACTATGGAGTATTTATCTGCTTCTTGGAAACACAAGTGCACAGCTTCTGTTTTATAATGTAGCGTATCCACTCTATTAGATTTGTAGCATTGTTCTTGTATAGCAAGCAATCCAATTTGGTACTGTATATTTTGATTTGTGTTAAGAGTCTCATACACTAATCTTCCTAATATCCTTTACATTTATTTTGGGCTGTAGATCATATTCTCACCCGGTCATGAATTGTTACTGGTTTTCAGCTGTATATTATTATATTACATTGCCACTCTTTGTTTTTGTTTTCAGTGGATATTTGTTTTAGGCTGGTTTTAGTTTTGCTTTACCAAACGTTTTATATTCCGAAGTGCTCTCTAAGCATTAATTTTGTGTGAAAGATTCATCATGACAAGTATTACAAGCCCTTCACTGTTGAGTGTATCTCATTTACTCTGTTAGGTTTTACATCATTTTCAAAGACATGCTGAACTCTGAAAGCCCACACCTCCTCATTGTGCCACCAATCAGTGATGTCTGTTATGGCATGCCCATTATCAGTATGAATATCATCTGTTACTAAGAAAGATGGAAGTACTCAGCTAGTACCAGTGGCTGGATTCTTTAGAATGCAGTGCTCTATTTCTTTATAGAACAGACTCCCCTGGACTGGAGACCAGAAAAGAAGTACACTTTGATATATTTTATTGACCAGAGGACCTTGTCCCCTAACAGGCCACTCCCCTTGTCTGTCAGTAATCACAGCTATTGATTGACTGATTTTAGTTTATTTTATATACTGCCTTTCCACAGTGAGCTGTGCCAAACGTGGCTACAACAAGCATTCAAGATACCAAAAATCCAAACATATCAACAAACTGAAATGAGGGCAAAAGCATCAATTTAGCAAATGGATAATAAATTCAATATTACAGTGCCATTATCTAAGAGAGACCACATTCCTTTGTCTCTCTCTGTGAATACTGAATAAACTACTTGATAAGAACTCCTCTTGTTTTTCTGCTTCTTGGCATCCCACCATGAGAGGACTAGGATTCCCTGAAGCCTTGAAAGGCAGCAATGCAGCGGGAGAGCACCTGCATTGCATTGCAGAAGTCTGGGGTTCATTCTTCAGCATCTCCAGGTAGGATAAGAGGAGCAGCTAATATGAAATTCTGAAGAGTCTCTGCCAATCAGCATAGAAAATGCTGAGCTTGATGAACCAATGGCGGCTGCCAATGTTCCTGTGTTTGCAATTGTGTTATTTGTTTCATAATGGGATATTTTATTGTTGTAAACTGCCCTGGGTCCTTGCAGGGATGGGTGTTTAAATCCATAAATAAAATACTTGGAATGTTTTAGAGTAATAGCAGTTTTGTCTCTTCTTAATGTACTGCAAAATTCAATACAAAGCAACAACAAGCAGCTAGGTGCTTGGACATATGGACTTCCTATATGGAGCTGTTTTTGCAAAGTACATGATCAGAAGGCCCAGCAGGAGACTGTTTCCTCCTTCCCTTCTCTTTCCCCACCTCCTTTTATGTTTGAATGGCACTGTATTTATGGTCTATGTTGGGTTTGCTCATTTTGTTTTTATTATTTGAATTTTCTAATTGTGACGTTATAAAATGAAAATTTTGTTCATTTGTCACATTGCAAGGGCTCAGTGAGTGGGGTGTTTGGGCACAAAGCCATTAAAGAGGGCCCCCAGAATCTTCTTGCCAACAGAGTGGCAGGCAGGAAAATGGTTTTGACAGCCCTGCCTTGCCTTCCTAATTACTGGAAGGATTCCACAAAACATCTCCTCCCAAAGCAGGTGTACTTTAATTTGCAAAGAAGAAAATCCAATCAGGTGTAATGGCAGCTCTTTCTTTCAACTTTTCTTTCTTTCTTAACATTGCCACTTGGTTTGAAGTTTTAATGCCTTTAACAGAGTGTATTATTTAGACAGCCATGTTAATGGTTGTTTGGTATTGCTTTTATGGTGTTTCATGTTTTGTTGCATTTGTATCTATTGCAGTATAGCACTTCCATGTTTTATGAGACAGTGATATATAAATACTTTTATAAAAAAATAAAAAGGTCTGTTACCTGCCCTTCACTATAAGGTTCCATGGTCCTTATGTAATATAAGCATATGATATGATTATATAATATAATCAGACAATTAAAGCAAGTAAAGTAGTTTATGCAATTATAAAAAAGCAAGTAAGACAAAGGCTGCAATATTAAACTTGCCTTGTTGTTGTTGTTTAGTCATTTAGTCGTGTCCGACTCTTCGTGACCCCATGGACCAGAGCATGCCAGGCACTCCTGTCTTCCACTGCCTCCCGCAGTTTGGTCAAACTCATGCTGGTAGCTTCGAGAACACTGTCCAACCATCTCGTCCTCTGTTGTCCCCTTCTCCTTGTGCGCGCCACCTTTCCCAACATCAGGGTCTTTTCCAGGGAGTCTTCTCTTCTCATGAGGTGGCCAAAGTACTGGAGCCTCAGCTTCACGATCTGTTCTCCCAGTGAGCACTCGGAGCTCCTTTAAAGCCACCCAAGTTGGTAATCATCACTATACATATGAACTGTGTGAAGAAGTACATCCTTTTGAGTTTCCTCAGTCTCCCAACATTCAGTTCCATTGGCTGTTCCCAGAATCTAGTATTATGAGAGGGAGAAAAGACCTCTGTCCAATCTTTCCATTATCTTATACACCTCTATCATGTACCATCTTTCCTTGCCTCTTTTCTAAACTCACTCACCTTTGCTCTTCAATCCTTGTCGTTGAACAAATTACTAAGGTGTAAGCCCTGGTGAGGCTTACTTTCAAGGGGGGAGGGAGCCTGTAAATCTCAAATGAATGAGGAGTGGTTGCCAATAAGCACATGGGTACAGTTGTTAATTTTAAGAGTTTGTTTACTGGAGCAGTTTGCAAGGATTGCGTGGTCATTTACAGCTGATAAGGTCTTTGGTGGCTAAATAGGAAGGTACCCTATGATCAGAGTTCAGTCTCAAAGAGGAAGGGCAGGTACAACAGAGCCTATATATACATATATATATATATATATATATAGGCTCTGTTATACACATATATACACACAGACACATTCATATACATACACACAATCTCCCTCTCACACACCCTATGAATATATGTAAATTATTTGCTGAAACTGATTCCCTTGTTTATACCTTTACAATGGAATAATCAATGTAAAGGAAACAATGCAAATGTGGAGGGAAAATACAATCAATTATGCATCATTTGCAGACTGAAAGTAACAACAGCATTCCTCTAGGGAATGGCAACAACAGAAGTCCCTAAAAAAAGAAAAAAGAATTTCTTATTATATGCCGCCACTGCAGCTAGACTCTTATTGGAATAAAGGTGAAGAACGAGTACGGTACTCACTAAGGAAGAGTGGCAGTTTAAAATGCTTGAATATGCTGAATTGGCAGGTATAACAAATAGGATAAGAGAAGAGGATGATAAAGAATATAAGGAGGATTGGAAAAATGTTTATTGAATATTTTAAGAACCCTAGCAGGTCTTGAGTAAATCCAGCAGAATAGGAGCTAACAGAAATTAACAGAGGAAGAAATTTGAAGGCTAAAAATTTGGAATACAGTGGTACCTCAG